TCGCGATGCCTGAAATATAATCGAGTAAACGCGAGGATATCATCGGGAATTCTGGTTTAATTTTCAAAAAACAATTAATCATGGATAAATCTCATTTAGTCTTCAAGAACAGTTGTAGGTATTTTATTTTCAAAAGACATTTAGCATTTTGAATCCATGGAATGTAATTACAAACATTTCAAGCAAATGTAGGAGAAGATGACATCAAAGGAATAACGTCATTAAAGAGATAACGATTCAATTTTGAACAATAAAAAGGTGAAGCCTAATTAACTCATTTCTTGCGTAATACACGATCATACTATCATCTGCTGAGAAAAGAGCAGACTCCTGAAAAGAACTCACACCGAAATATCAATGTAAAAACAAAACGTAAGAATGAACACACCCTGAGATAGCAGTTCATAGCTTGTTCGTGCTCAGACTCAGCCGATAAGACATGCCCGAATGCAAGCCAACCTTCACCAAATGATGAATTCATTGTTATACATTTATCTTAAATTTGACATCTCCATCACATACTTGCTTTTATTACATCTCACATTTTCTATTTAAAAAGAGATCACTATCGATAAATGGTAATCATATTGAAAATTATAAACACTACACTAAAAAGTGCAAAATATTCACAAAAAATCGCCAAAATGCACTTGACTTTACAAGGTTACTAAGTTATTGCACAAAACTATTCGCAAAACTCAATGTATCTCAATCAAGGTAGGAAGAATCACCAATAAATACTACCTACTACCTTCTTTTTGTATACATCTGGAGTGTAACATCTCAGTGATTAAAAAATTCGGGACAATTATCGAAAAGGAGCACGAAAATGACAAATGATATTCTTACAATATTAGCTGGAGGTCTGAAACTAAAGCAAAAGTTTATAGCATAGAATGAAAAACATACTGAGAAAATTTTTAGCAGCACCGAACTGTCCAATCACATAATAATAACATCCAACAGCATACCAAGTGAATTCATGATCCGGCTGGTTATCGACTAATTTATGCGATAACATGAATAATTCATCACTTTTTCGTAAATGTACCAATGTTGCCACATGAACTAATATGCAATCCTTAATTTCGTATCATTTTATATCAGATAGATGCATTCCCATTAGCAAAGAAGAAGAAAAAACAATCACATTCAATGATTCAACTATTTATGTTAGATTTAAAATGCGTTGCTTGAATCAAGAAGAGTACAAATAGTTTAAAAAAGCTGTATA